CCTCTGTCCATGGAATTCTCCAGGCAAGAATACTGGAGTGGGTTATCATTTCCTTCACCAAACAAGAGAAACCACTGCAATGAGAAGCCCACGCACTACAAGAGAGTACCCTCCACTTGCCACAACTAGAAAAAGCTTGCATGCAACAATGAAGACCCAGCACAGTCAAAAATTTAAAAATAAATAATTTTTAACAAAAAAAAAAGTACACAAAAGCAAAATGCATGACAAAACTAGCACAAAGGACCAGAGAAGAGAAACGGAAATGTACTATTCTCAGTTGTTTTTTTTTTTCAGTTTTTATACTACATGTGAAGTGGTATGAGATCTCTTGAAGGTATAGTATGTAAGTTAGTTAAGGATATACACTATGAATCCTAAAGCAACCAGCAAAATAACAGTTATAAATAATAAATTAACAAAAGGTAAAACAGAATCATAAACAATATTTCATTCAGTCAAAAGGCAGAAATACTAAGATAAAGAACAGTAAAAATAAGATGACAAACATAAACATAACCATATCAATAATTACATTAAATGTAAATGATCTATTTTACTCAAAATCTGGAAAACACTGTGTTCAGTAAAAGAAGCTAGTCACAAAAGACTACCAATGAAATGGCCAGAATAAGCAAATCCATGGAGACAGTAGATTAGTAGTTACCAGGAAGGAGGGTGAAAAGGGGAGACTAATGGATCAAGGTTTCTTTTGGGAATCATAAAAACATTCTGAAATTGGATAATGGTAATGTTTACACAACTCTGTGAGTATACTAAAAACTACTAAATTGTACATTTTAGAAGGGTGGATTTTTATGGTAAGTGAATAATTAAAAGCATAAGAGCAATACAATAAAAATATTGGCAAAGGGTTCTGATACAATAATAAGCATAAACTTTCTTAGACCCAGCCCTGCAAGAAGATTCTAATCTCAATTTCACTCCATAAGAAGTGAGTATATGATTTTCTTTGGCCAATAAAATGTAAGTCGAAGTTATGTATATAACTCCCTAATAGCTGTTTTTTTAAGATATATTTCCTCTATATCCATTTCCCATTTGGCATGAGTCTGGTTTATCCTGCAGAGAGGCTGGTCACTGGTCCAGAAATTAAGAAGTGTGCAATAAAAATGTACTCAGCCTAAAGTTTGAGATGAACATAAATGTAAGCAAGAAATAAAATTATGTCACAGTAAAAGTGATCTAACTACCATAATTAAAAGGTAAAGACTGTCAGACTATTTTGAAAAGCAAGAGCCACTAGATATTGTCTAACTGCCAAACTGTAAAGATAAAAACAGAATAAAAGTAAAAAACAGAAAAGTATATAAACTTCTAACACTATTCAAAAGTTACAATGACTATATGAGATAAAGTAGATTTCTAAAGCAAACAAAGTTATTACTAGGAATAATGAAGGCATTTTGACAACAGGATGGACCAATTCTAAATTTTATATATACAATATAACTTCATATTATATGAAACAAAGACTGAGAAAATTTAAAGAGAAATAAATCACGATTATAGTTGGAGGTTTCAATACCCTTCTCTCAATATCTGATACAAGTAAACAGAAAACCAGAAAAGATACAGTAGACTTGAACAACACCATCAATCAATTTGAACCAATTAACATTTATAGAATATGCTACCAAATAACAGCTGAATATACAGTCTTTCCAAGTGCACATAAAACATGTATCAAAACATACTATACTTAAAACTATAAAACTTAAAGGGATCCTGCAAAAGCAGAGCTTCAGGAGAAACGTATAGCATTAAACACTTAAATGAGAAAAGAGGAAAGATCACAAAAATATTACAAGGACATAAGACATTACAAAGAAAACCCAAAGACATTAGATAACAACTACAGACTGAGCTTCCTCCTGAACACAGATACAAAAATTCCAAAAAAAATTTTAGCTCATCAAATCCAACAATATCCTATCATGACAATGGATAATGACTAAGTGGGGTTTAACTTTAAAACAAAAGTAATCTGTCAAATTAAAACAAGGAAACAATTGCTCATTTTGATAGATTCAGGGAAACTATTTGACATAATGCAACATCTATTTCTTATAAACTCTTAACAAATGAGAAACAGGAACTTCTTCAATCTGATAAAAAGTAATCTATAGAAATCTACAATTTACTCATTCTTAATGCTTCCCTCTTCAGTTCAGTTCAGTTCAGTCACTCAGTCATGTCCAATTCTTTGCTAACCCCATGGACTGCAGCACACCAGGCTTCCCTGTCCATCACCAACTCCTGGAGCTTGCTCAAGTTCATGTCCATCGAGTCGGTGATGCCATCCAAACATCTCATCCTCTGTCATCCCCTTCTCCTCCTGCCCTCAATCTTGCCCAGCATCAGGGTCTTTTCAAATGAGTCAGTTCTTTGCATCAGGTGGCCAAAGTAGTGGAGCTTCAGCTTCAGCATCAGCCCTTCCAATGAATATTCAAGACTGATTTCCTTTAGGATAGACAGGTTGGATCTCCTTGCTGTCCAATGGACTCTCAAGAGTCTTTTCCAACACCACAGTTCAAAAACATCAATTCTTTGGTGCTCAGCTTTCTTTATAGTCCAACTCTCACGTCCATACATGACTAATGGAAAAACCATACCTCTGACTAGACAGATCTTTGTCAGCAAAGTAATGTCTCTGCTTTTTAATATGCTGTCTAGATTGGTCATAGCTTTTCTGCCAAGGAGCAAGCGTCTTTTAATTTTTAATTAAAATAATTTTAATTTTAAACTTTCCTGTTAATGTCAAGGCTATCTGTTCATTATATACATTCACATTTGTACTGGAAGTACTAGCCAGTTACAATAAGGCAAGAAAAAGCTATAAAGGGCATCCATATTGAAAAGATGCAAATGTGCTTTTATTCATGGACCACATGCTCATCTATATAGAAAATCTAATGGAATCTAAAAAAAAAAAATAAAAAAAACCTACCAGAACAAGTGAATTTACCAAGGCAACAGAATACACGAATGATAAAAGAAAAATGACTGTATTTCTACATGCTGACAATGAACAATCAGAAATTAAATTTACAAAAACAATACCATGCACAAGTAATAAGTAAAAGAAAAATATAATGTGTTCATGGGTGGAAGCCACTATTGGCAGGAATTCAACACTATTCTAATCAAAATCTCAGCAAGTGTTTTTGTACAAATTACTTGACATAAAATTCACAAAGGCATGATAAGGAGCAAAAACAAAGAACAAAGACAATTAACACTATCTGATTTCAAGACTTCTTATAAAGCTATAATATTCAATAGTGTCATACTAGCATTAAAGTAGAAAAATTAATTAATGGAACAGAAAAAGAGACAAGAAACATACATACACAGACAATTGATTTTTGACAGAAGTGCAAAAGTAATTAAAGAGGAAAAAGGACAGTCTTTTCAACAAATATAAAAACATTTGAAAAGCATATCTATGGAAAAAGGACTTGTACCCAAACTATGTAAAAAAACTCTTAAAACACAGTAAGAAAGCAAACAATCTAATTTTTTTAATGGGCAAAATTTGGAACAGACATTTAATCAAAGATGATTTATCAATGGCAAATTAGCACATAAAAAATGTGCTCAACACCAATAGGGAAATGCAATTAAAACCACAAGACACAAATACCCATAAGAACAGCTAAAATTAAAAAGACTGACTATACCAAATGTTGATAAGGCTGCAAAAGAGCAGCAATGTTCATACACTGATGATGAGAATGTGAAAAACTATAGGTCCTTTGGAAAACAGTTTGACAATTAAATATACTTCTGCCATATAAACCAGCCATTCCATTCCTAGGTATTTACCCAGGAGAAATGAAAGCATAAACTGATACAAAGGCTTGTACACAAAAGTTTATACCATTTCACAACAGGTGAGTAGGTAAGCTGTGATATATCCATAGAATGGAATACTGCTACTCCTGCTGCTGCTGCTGCTAAGGCGCTTCAATTATGTCTGACTCTGTGCGACCCCATAGATGTCAGCCCAGCAGGCTCCCCCGTCCCTGGGATCCACCAGGCAAGAACACTGGAGTGGGTTGCCATTTCCTTCTCCAATGCATGAAAGTGAAAAGTGAAAGTGAAGTCGCTTAGTCGTGTCGGACTCTTAGCAACCCCATGGACCGCAGCCTACCAGGCTCCTCCATCCATGGGATTTTCCAGGCAAGAGTACTGGAGTGGAATACTACTAAGCAATAAAAAGAAATGAACTATTCATATGTATTACAACACACATGAATCTCAGAACAATAACCCATTAAAAAAGAGTATATACTGTATGATTCGATTTCTATAAAACTATACAAAATGCAAACCAATTTACAATGACCAAAAGAAGAGCAGTGGCTATCTGGAGATACAAAGGCAGATAACAGATATGTTCATTTTCCTGATTTTGGTGATAATTTCACAGGTATATATTTATGTCTAAACTTATCAAATTGTATACCTTAAGTATGTGTACTTTATTATGTCAATTACATATCATAAGAGTTGTTAGAAATTATCTCTGCAATTATCCTTATTTTGACTGAACATAAAAGGATTCTCTCTCAGTAACTCTTTTTGTAGCTGATGCCCTAAAGAACCATTCAGGAAGAATTTAGACAATTTGCTACATTAAGTACACAAGTCTACAGCTATCCAAGTCTGAAGAAAATTTTAGTCCAATTTTAGTTTTAAGACCAACTCCTCCAAAAAAGTTCTTGAAAATTTCTATTAACTCTGATTTTAAAAAAACTAAACTTTTTTTGGCCCCTCGACATGGCTTGCAGGATTTAAGTTTCAAGGCCATGGCAGTAAAACCCCAGAATCCTAACCCTACGCTATCAGGGAACTCCCCTAAACATTCTTAATACGGAAAAATATTTAAAATTTTGATTATGGCATGCATACATATATGAATGGTCAAGTGCGTACGACAATTAAAGAAAGACAACCCAAGCAACCTCACTTACCTATTTTGTTCCTCCAGTTTAGCCAGGAGTTCTAAGTCGTCTGGACTCAACTGTGACGGTGAAGATGGTGAAAGGGCTGGCGTTGACAGTGTGGTAGACGAGGATGTAGTGTGTAAGGAAGCAGATGGACTTGCCACCTGACTGGCCATCTGGCTGACTGTATGTGACACTGTGTTCTTCACCCATGAGAGAGTAGAACTCAACTTTTCTGCAACCTTGTCTGTCGCCACCTAAGTATAAAAATAAAAGTTACATATATTTCAGTTTTACTTTATGCATTACCAAGAATTTGATAATCCTCATTAGTTTTATTTGAAAACCAGCAATCAGAATATTTTCTGTGAGTTAATGAAGGTAACACCTGCTTTAGCACTGACTGTTCTAACATACAGCTTTTGGAAACTCCATATTTCAGTTCTGTAGCATGCACAAATTAAAACAGTGATTTCCAAACTACAGGCTGAAATTCATCAGGGAGTGATAAATTTTATAAGTAACACCAGCATTTTTTAAAAATGAAAAGGAGCAAAAAGTGTCAGTGTAAAGATATGTTGTCACAAAATTTCTGCCTCAGTTACATATATGTATTAAAACTACATACTTCATGTATGTATATATGGATAGGTTGAGTTGGAATATGAAATATATTCTTCATTTGGGTTGTAGTCAAAAACAGTTGAAAGCCAAGGAACCAAAACATGTCCATTAGGTGATCAGGATAGAGAAATCCTATAGCATGACTAACAATTCAACAAAAACTAGGCTTAGCATAAATAAGATTAAATGAGATTCATAATAAACCTTCAAAGTACTATATGAGTGTTTTCTTAGAAGAGGATTTAGTTCTAGAGGAACAAAATTATGACAAATGTTTTGAGTTAATAGAGTAAGAGAGTTTCAGGGTACAATTTTCAAACAGAACTAGTCAGAAATAGAATAGGATGCTTAGAAAGAATAGACATTCTCTGCCAAGGGCTACAACTAAGAATCAATTATGAGAGTCAAAAGTCAACAGTTGACTGAAGATGAATTTCTGCTTTAGGTGGGCAACCAGGACCAGAAAATCCTTTCAAATCCTAAATCCTTTCCATCTGCAAGATCCAACGAACTATATAACTGTATATAACTATATAACTGATATATGCTTCATAAATCATGCCAGTATCTTAAGCAGATGTGCATACAAATCTGAAATTTTACACAAAAGGCAAATGATCAAAACACTACAAACTATTTTCTATGTAGACGTTCTCAGCTAACCTTGGTTTCATATAGCAATTTATACACATACAAATTAAAACATCAACATATATATATATAAACAAATAAAAAGGCCACCCACACTATCTTAGCAGATACTACTCTCTCCTCATAGATTGCCCCAGTCTTGCCTTCTCACCTCATCAACAGATACATGACCTACCTCTAATTTTCATTTCCAATAACTTTTCTATTTTAGAACTTACTTCCCTTGGAATGGGATGAGGGAGTTCTTATTGTTGAGGCAAAAACCCCCAAAGAAAGACAAGCATGATGAAGTACGGGAATCAAGGAAAAGAAGTATGGAGCAGATCTTTAGGCTTCCAGGCAAACAAACAGTCCTCACCAATGAACTTGGTGTGAACTTGCAACACAGTTTATTAGGGTATAAGATCATATAGGAACCAAATAATTTAGCCAGAACTTCCTCTGTACCAGGAAATGGTAAGAGCCATGGCAGTCAACAAGACAGCCTCTTGTGGTTTGTTATCCTATTGATCTTTTCTACATAGTTACAAATACAAATTCAGTTGTGAAGATAGCACTAATTTGCATTCTCAAAGCACACTATATTGTAAAACAGAAAACCTAACGTAAAATTTACAGAAAAATGTTATCCTTTACTATTAATTTCAAATATAATTAACAACTTTTAAGAATTAATACTTACAACAAGGACCTACTGTATAGCAGCACAGTGAACTATATTCAATATCTTATAATAACCTATTATGGAAAAGAATCTAAAAAAGAATATATATATAACTGGATCACTTTTATATACACCTGAAATACTGTAAGTCAACTATACTTTAATTTTAAAATACATATGGAAATAATTTTTAAAGAAAGAAAGATTTACACTTCCCTTATATAAAAGTTCTCTACTCCAGCTAACTGTAGCAAAGGCAAAAGACATGTATTATTTGCTTTAATTTATTTTTAAAAATAAATTTATCATACCCCTTCTACATACTGTAGCAACAGGCTTCCATTTAAAGAGTTTGGAATAACCAAGAATGCAATCCTGATATCCTTTCAACCTTGATGAAATGAAATTCAGTCTATAACTACTGAAGGCTCAACAACCCATCGTTAGCATTTTAAATTCTTAAATCTAATTGGAGTATTAATTGCAGTTCCACTTTAATAAAGTTTAATACTCATGGTTGTAGAAATCCCACAGGACTGAGTTATTTCTCATACATCATCATGTCCTATTTTTTCTTTAACTCTACTTTTCCAAATCTCTACCCTGCCACCTCCAAACCTCTTTCCCTCATCTTATGTTAAACTGTGTCATGAAGACACAATAAATTTGACAGTGCAATTATGTCACAAAGTTTGTCACAAAGTTCCTGTCTACCTCACAGAGGTGTTATGCATTTATTTTTAAACATGAACATACTTTGAAAAGATTAAAGCCATCACTAAAAAGGTTTAGTAATCAGGCACAAAAGGCCACACAGTGTATGATTCCACTTACATAAACGAAGCAAACCAAGAGAGAGAAAGTAGTTTAGTGACCTGGAGAGACTGGAGGAGGGGGTACAGAAAATGACTACTAATGGGTACAGTTCTTCCCAGAGTGATGAAAATGCTCTGGGATTGGATTGCACTGATAGTTACATGACTTGTGAATACACTAAATGCCACTGAACACTTTAAAGGAGAGAATTCTATGGTATGTGAATTATATCTCAATTTTAAAAGGGCTTAGTCGATCCGAAAAGTTTTACATAATGTTTAATTCCAACTACATAACATTCTGGAAGAGACAAAACTGTGGAGACAATAAAAATATCAGGAGTTGGGCAAGGGAAGGGACAAACAGGCAGAGAACAGAGGACTTTCATGGCAGTGAAAATACTGTTTGCTCAGTTGCTAAGTCATGTCTGACTCTTTGAGACCCCATGGACTGTAGCCCAACAGGCTCTTCTGTCCATGGAATTCTCCAGGCAAGAATACTAGAGTGGGTTGCCATGTTCTCCTCCAGGGTATCTTCCCAACTCAGAGATCAAACTCGCATCTCCTGCGTCTCCTGTATCGGCAGGCGGGTTCTTTACCACAGAGTCACCTGGGATGCCCAGAAACGAGTATGATGATTCCTCAAAAAAGTGAACATGGAATTATATAATACAGCAATTTCACTTCTGGGAATGTACCCAAAAGGATTCAAAGCAGGAACTAAATGAGATTTTTATACACCCAAGTTCATAGCAGCGTGATTCACAATATTCAAATGGCAGAAGCAACTCAAATGATCATTAATGGAGGAACGGATTTTTTAAATGGCAATGAATTATTATTCAGCCTTAAAAAAAAACTCTGACATATGCTACATGAATGAACCCTGAAGATATTATTTCAAGTGAAATAGTTATATCGCTCAGTCGTGACTCTTTGCAACCCCATGGACTGCAGGCTACCAGGATCCTCAATCTATGGGATTTTCCAGGCAAGAGTAGTGGAGTGGGTTGCCATTTCCTTCTCCAGGGGATCCTTCTGACCCAGGAATCGAACCCGGGTTTCCCGCACTGTGGGCAGACGCTTTACCGTCTGAGCTACCAAGTGAAATAAGCAAGTCACGAAATGACAAATATTCTATGATTCCACTTATAGAGGTACCAAAGAGCAGTCAGATTCATAAAGGCAGAATGCAGAATGGTGGCTGCCAGGGAAGTGGGGAATGGGAAGTTTAATGGGTTCTCTAGAGGTGGATAGAGATGATGGTTGCATAACAAAGTGAATGTACTTAAAGCCACTGAGCTGTACACTTTAAAAATGCTTAAAACGGTAAACTTTTGTTATGTACAGCTGGCCCCTGAACAATGCGGGTTTGTACTGTGTGTGTCTATGCATTACTTGCTCAGTCGTGTCTGACTCTGCAACCCAAGGACTCTGGCCCACCAGGTTCTTCTGTCCATGAAATTCTCCAGGCAAGAATACTGGAGTGGGTTGCCATTTCCTTCTCTAGGGAATCTTCCCGACTCAGGGATTAAACTCCAGTCTCCTACACTGCAGGCAGATACTTTACCATCTGAGCCACCAGGGAGTGGGTCCACTTATACACAGGTCTTTTGCAGCAAGTATGTACCACCCAGTATTGGAAGATCTGTGGTTGTCTAAATCCAAGGATGCAGAACCATGAATACAGAGGTTGAACGGTAGCCATACACGGATTTTCAACTGAATGAGGGTCAGTGCCCTTAACTACCATCTTGTTCAAGGGTCAGCAGTTTATCACAATTAAACAAAAAGAAGAAATTTACAACTTTCATTCCTTTTATTAGTAATTTATGTCTTTCTCTCTTTTGGTCTTTGTTAGCCTGGCTAGAAGCTTATCAATCTTTTCAAAGAACCAACTTTTATTTTTCTCTGTCTTCCTGTTTTCAGTTTTACTTACTCATGCTCTAACTTTAATTTCTTTTCTTCCACTTGCTTAAGGTTTATATCTCTTTTTTCTCTGGTTCTCTAAGCTGGAAGATTAGAATACTCATTTTGCATCTCTCTTCTGTTTCAAAATACATTCAAATGCTCTAAACTAACCTCTAATACTGCTTCTGCTACTTTTCATTTTGCTTTAGTTCAAAATATTTAAAAATTTTCTTTGGACTTTTTTTTGGATCCATGTGTTATTTAGAAGTGTGTTTTTTAATCTCTAAATATTTTCATTTTCCAGCTATCTTTCTATTATTTCTAACTTAATTCCATTGTGGTCTGACAGCACATGTTCAGGTGTGCTGAACCATATGACCCAGAATATAGTGCATCCTGATGACTGATACATGGACGCCAGAAAAGAACGTATACTCGGTAGTTATCAGATAAACATCATTAAATATAGTTGACTGATGGTATTGTTCACCTGTATTCTTACTGACTTTCTACCTGCTGTATCTAAATTACTGAAAAACAGGTGCTGAAGATTCCAACCATAATGGTGAATGTGTCTATTTCTCCTTGACAT